CTATGGAGAAAGTGGCAGAAGAAAAGTTGGTCTTAAAGTAAAAGAATTTGTCCTTGTGTGGTCCGAATGGGTGGAGAGGGGGGGGCTTGACGGCGGTGTTTCCCGGGGTTTTAGACAAATCGAAGGATCGTCGAAGCCCCGGTACCTGAAGGGGTGAGGAAAAACGCCAAAGAGGTACGGGATCAGGAGTGTCCCAAGATGGTCAAACACAAGGGAGGGCAGAATGGGGGGGCGGTACCAAAAGGGGCCGGGGGGAGTGGGGTTAAAGACAGGCTGCCCTGGTTAGGTTTCTCCTTTTCTTTTTGTTTTTTTAAAAAAAAAAAAAAGAAAGAGAAAAAAAAATAAAAATAAAAAAAAGAAAAAAAAAAGGGGGGGGGCGGGGAGGAATAGTTTCCCCGGAGGAAAGAAAGGGCCGGAAATTCCCCCCGCTCCCCAGAGGGGCTCGACACGCTAGGCGAGAGCGCTGGCCCGGCCAACCCTTCCCTTCACCCTAAAAAAGCAATCCGGGATAGCAACCTCAATCTGCGGCTACCTCGGTGGACAAAAAAGGAGGGGGCCGGGGTATCCCCCACAAGCTACCTCCTCAGCCACCACCCCGGAATCCCCAAAGGGGCTTCCAGAGATAACCCCGTGCCCAAAAAACCCCAAAGTACCCGGGATACCGGAGAGGGGCGGGACATCCCCCGGAATCAGATTCCCAAAGGGAAAAAAACCCCCACAGCCCAAAAACCTCAACGGGAAAGGGATGGACCCCGGGGTCCTTTCCCCTACTGGAACAGTGCGCCTTGGAGAAAACCCAAAGGGCCCAAAAAAAGGGGAAGGGGAAAAGGGAGGGGTGGGAGGAGGAAGGGAGGAATGGGAAAAAGGGGGGATGGGGAGGGTGGGATAGGGAGGGGAGAATGGGGGGGGAATTTAGGTTCGGTCTGAGGAAGAAACCGAAAAGGGTAATTTTCCCCAGACCAAGACCTCTTACCACGCAAAGGGGCCCCCCTTGAAGAGGCGCCTACACAATAAAGGGATTCAAATTTGAGTCAAGAGAGGGTATTCTACATTCATTGGGGGGGGGAGGGGTTTTAAAACCCCCAGCTGTGTGTCTGTGGAAAGGGCAGAAATCGGTTGTCCAAGGGAAAGTCAGGTTCAATTCCTAAGATCAAGATCCCTCATCGCTTCAAGAATTTTCCCTGGGGTTCTAAAGAAGGGGGAATAAATGTATTCCTTGGATCAAGGACCTCTCACCAAAAAATGCACCTTGAGGGGGGTTTACACTTGTAACAAGACTGTCACCGGCTAAATTATTCATACCAGCAAAAACATACCATGCTCACAAAGAAATAAACCCTATGATTCATTAACTAATGCACCAGTATAAACACGATCTATGTACAGGGATGGCCCAGTTTTTTGGGGTTTAATACCATGGCAAGACTACAGATGGCTACAAAACATAGTCATGCTATTATGCACCCTTCTGGTACATTTGAAGCCTGAATATGCCTAAAAGGGAGGTTCCCTGATGCCAGCGGATCTTGATGCAAGGAATTAGATATCCTCCCTCCCTTTGGATTGACCCCAATTGCCTCCTATTCCCCAAGCATTAATATCCCTAAGGATATAGCACTCCCCATATAGATGATAATTCAGCAGATTCTGCAGATCAAATAGAAGGGCCCAAGATGATATATCCCAGGCAGAAATGTAAGCTTTTCTCAGGTTGAAAGATGTCACCACTTTCAGAAAAGGGCCCTTTTTCTGTATCCAAATTGTTTGGGGAAAGATAAACAACTGTAAGTCTCTAAATGCCACAGACTCTGTTAATCACATATCATTATTTGCAACAGGAACTACTAAAAGGTGACAGAAACAGGTATGGTACTACACCCAGTATGTAGATAGAGACATTGAGGAAAAATTTCACCATATATATTGTGGAAGAGACCAGGTGAACATAGGCTAAAAGGATGCCATTACAGGTCACATTGGGAAATCTTAAAAAAAAAAAAAAAAAAAAAAAGTTAAATATATGAATGAGGCTGGTAGGCCTCCTGCAGTTGTGTGTGGTTGAGCTTTGTGTCATTTAATGCTAAAAAAGGTCTTGCTGACACCCAATGGAACAGCGCATGAAGGGGTTGGCTCTTGTCAACTCTGGGCAGTATCCAAGTTGGCAAGCAGCGCTCCATCATGAAATTTGGAGAACCTAAGATTATTATATATGAAAAAACTATACCATCATAAGTGTTCAGAGGCTGACATGATAACAATCACCAACACCATCCACAAAAATCTGGTAGTTGTAGCATTTCCAGTCTTTGCAGAGCGATTACTACCTAATCTGTAATTAGATGACATCAGCCAGCCTTCTGCCAGCACTGAGTGGAATTAGGATCTTTCTACCATTATATGACACCAACTTGCACCATAATGTGCTATAGACCTACTGGCATCAATCATACATTTGTCTAAACTATTTTGAAGGTTACTGAACATGTTGCCTTTGATAAGTCACCCTGCTTTTAACATATGTTCACCTACCCTCTTGCACTATATGTCTTGGTCTAGTACCTCTAAAAACTGATATAGTCACTCGTGGCAAAATGTTTCCTCAATAAACGTCTTCCATTGTGCATGTGTGTGTGTATGTAAACTAGGTTCTGACTCTCTAGAAAGGATTGTAGCTAACATTACCAGCTTTTGAAAAGTTAAGGCAACAGGTGATTTCCACTGCATGGGCAATACTCCTACAGACAAAATCAAGAGGAAGTGATATGGTGATACCGACAAGATGTGGAAAAAGACACTCGTGTACAGTACAGGACATTTATTAAAGGAAACGTTTCGCCACAAGTGGCTTCTTCAGTCCTAGTATTAGGACTGAAGATGCCACTCATGGTGAAACGTTTCCTTTAATATATGTCCTGAACTGTACGTAAGTGTCTTTTTCCACACACAGACAAAATCAAGACTGAAAAACAGTTTAAAAGGCAATGTGCCAGTGTGTACTAACCTTCTAAAGAATGAGGAATTATTCTCTGAATATAAGCCCAAAAAATATACTGGGTTTTTTGTCCTTGTTGTGCCTGAGGCACAGTAGTTATCACTCTACAGTCCACAACCTCTGTATGACCCATACGGGTTTAGCACTTAAAATGATTATTGTCTTAAATCTTTACATTTATTATACAACACTATTTGTTTATATTAAGGAGTTGCCACCAAACAGCTTAGTTATACGTAATATAGAGAATATATATTTTCATAGAATTATTTTACAACTTTTCTTCATTCCCAACTATACTCTTACATCATTCATTTCTCTTGACTGTTAAAGACTTCTGAGACTTTGTGTTTTACACAGAAAATGACCCAAGATGCATGCTCTCTTGGCATCTAACTAAAAAATACTTTGAGAACTATGCAAGAGTATTAGCATTGACTATGTATGGGTAGGGATGATAGTAACATTAATGATAAATCATCTTTGGTAGTATAATCTGCCACATAATAGTCCTTGGTAGTGCCAAGAATACTATGTTAAAAAAAAGTATCTGATGAAATAACACAGGATACATTTCAGCAATATATAAGAATATCATGTGTTTTAGAATTAGTCACTGTAACTTATATAATGCAAAACAGTCCAGAAAAACTATATAGGATGTTTGAAATTGAGGAAAAAAACAAAACTTACTCATTGTCAATTATTTTAAACAATTAACATATTTCAATGGCATTTTTGATGGTGTGATGACATTAAGGTAATTTGTTTTATATTAAAAAAAAAAAATTGTACATAATGTACTATTTTACTTTGCTAAATTACTGTTGACATTTATATATAATTATTTACCAAATCTATTATAAGCTTACCAAGTGGCTATAAGAAATTTTACAAATTCTCCCTTATAGTTCACGAATGCAAAGATGTCATTTGTTAGCACTCATGCCGCGTCAACGAGGACCACTTAATAACGGCATGATAAAATCTAACAGTACCTGAGAGCTAGGACAGAATTATAAACAAATCATAATCATCACATTCTACATGTCACACTCTGAAGGAATGTTTTCAAACACCCCTGTGATTTCTATCTGCACCCACAGCAATGTTTACAGTGAATGGCGCACAACCACTTACACTCATTCATGCCCCCACTTTACACATATGCACATCACAAGTAGGCAATAAGACATTAATTTGTACAGCACTTATCCATCTGTTTCTTATGTGTTAGTGGAATCACAATCCAGTATGGAAACAAAGATATGATTAGTCAACTGACCACAATTCAAACACTGACTTGCAAACACATGTATGCTGATATTTGCTAAATAACTGTGTATACAGTTCTGACAGACTTCACTAAATTTTCATGTTTTTGCAGGTGGTCTTGTCTGTCAGCCTATTGTGTATCAGATCCTAAACTCACAGTACACAAAATGTCCCAGTGACAGTCTTTTGAACTTTTCGAAAAAAAATAAAATTCACTGAGTTTTGACTATATTAAATCACAGTCACCTCTTGTTTCACACACTAATACGTCCAGTTTTTCACAAGCATAAACATCCATAGGATAATCCCCACAACATGTACTCCACCTCACAGCAGACAAGTAATCAAACCAATGCAATGGAATGTACTCAAGAACGTCAACATGGTGAAGATCATTAAAACTTGTTTATTAACCACGTTTCTGTTTCTTGGAAACTAAACACTGAATTTGGTGAAAAAATGAGAAGTGCACTAAAATGTTTCATGCAAGAATGGCTTTAAGATTTATAAGAAACAAACACATCAATGCGTTAAAGCTAGCAAGTCATGCCTGCTGAGGTGTTGTGCGAGCTAGGCGATTCTGGAGTACTATCTTTGACAGAGGAACTAGATATAATTCATATGATTGCAAACTTCCATCCCATGGTTACTGTTGCACTGGTCTTACCCTTGTGTCTGTATTTGGGCAGTTGTGGCTTTAGCAGCCAGAACACATCTGACTTCACAGTCATGAGTGCGGTTCTCCCGAGGGCAAGACCCCAAGTCCATCTTCCACCATCTCTTGAGTGGACAAGCCCTGGTGTATGGGCTTCATTGTGCTATTGACTACAGCATGCTACCACTACCAAGTCTTGTTAACTTGTATCCTGAACTATGGATTGCTATGTCTCTTGTTATATTTGTGGGGTTTTATCATAAAGAACTTAGCTCTCGAGGTTTTTCATTCGTGTGCGGACTGGGTCCTCCAGCTTGGCCCTCCTGTTGTCCCCCTCTTAATTCTTTTCCTTTCCTCTGAGGCACATCACTCTCTCCTTTTTCCAGTGTCTGAGAGTCATGGAACTGTGAGCACCTGGAGACCTGCTGCCTGAACTGTTAGACTTCAAGGACAATGGGTTGCCTTCCAAGACCCGGAGGGTGGACTCATTTCTGAATTCTTCCTTTAACAAACTGGGAAGTTTTTCTGGAAAATGACCATAACAGCCAGTTAATATGCAAACATCAAGAAGTTTAAATAATAAGTGGAAGATAAAATGCGAAGCGGTCATTAAAATCCTCCACTAAAAAAACACATGTGCAAAAGGTGACTTTAAATACTACTGCTCTAAAAATTTCAAAAATTTTGATTTATCAGCAGTTGGGGCTCTCAGGGCAGATAAGACTCTAATACCTACAAATATGCAATTAAAACACGTTCAGTACTGTGCTATTGTTATTATGGAAACATTCTGCTCACTGCAAGCTGTACAAATACAATACACAGACTGAGAAAACACAGTATGTATAGTAGACCGGGTTATTGATTGAACAAAGCAAACAAATTATGGTTGTAAGAATGACCCTAATTTTATTTGCACTACACTGTTTATGGGAAGCTAATATATTTGAGTCATATTTCATATTTCACTTCTAAACTGTTGTATTCTGGGCACCTCTGCAGAAACAGTGATTATGTGTGAGTGAGGTGAAAGTTTTGAATGTGATGAAAGTCTTTTCTTTTTGGGGATTTTTGCTTTCTTTTTGGGTCACCTGCTCGGTGGGAGACGGCCCGTCCTGTTACAAAATAAAAAACACCTCTAAGCTGTTTGTAAGAAATTGAATAGCACAGAAATGACAGGTAATGAATGAAATTGCTAATTAACTTTTGAGACCAATGGGCCTATTTTAATTGAATAGCTGTTAGAGAGAGAGCAGAGAAAACGAGGCGAGAGAGAGAGATGAGAGAGAGAGAGAGAGAGAGGAGAGCAGAGAGAGAGAGAGAGTGACAGAGACAGAGAGAGAGGAGGAGTGGAGGGATTGAGAAGAAAGGGAAAGAGAGAAAGGAAAAGATAGAAAGAAAGTACAGGAAAGAGAGAAAAAGAGGAAAAGAAGAAGAAGGAAAAAAGGGAGAGAAAGCAAGAGAAAGAGAGAAAAGAGGAAAAGAGAAAAAGGGGAGAGGGGGAAAGAGGAAAGACGGAGAAGCAGAGAAAGAGAGAGACAAGAGAAAGAGAAAGAGAAAGAGAGAAAGAGAAAGAGTAAAAGAAAGTTGAGAAAGAGCGAAAGCGTGCTGGGCACCATTGTTATGGAATGTCTACTTAACGACCTTCTTATCTCATCCCGAATCACATGCATATGCAGACGACTGTACAGGACATTCACTTAATTCAAGAGAAGAAATGCCCAAGCTGCTCTAAGCCTTACATCATCCAGCTGATGGCTTATTTCAAACTTGGGGAACATAGATGGCAAGTACAATTTGCACTGAGAAAATGCAAAAATGATGATCCGTCTCTAGGCACCATGATGGTAATGCTGGTGCAGTAGTAAGGGATGAATGGGAGGGGATTGGCACTGAAGAAGAAGTTGTATAATCCTTGGGGTGAAATTTGACTCCAACACAACCATAAGAAAACCATGTTGAACTTCTTGCAATCAAGGCAGCCAGGGCAGGAGCTTACAGCACTTGGCCGTAGCACGCATCCCTACTTGACAGAAGGGGTTGCACGAGTCTGTATGAGGCACAAGTACACTCGTACCTTGAATTGCTCACTTTCTTGGTTTGCTGCCCCCCCTCTCATCTGCGATGATTGACAGGAGTAGGAGAACAGAGCAAGACGTCTCATCACTCGCCTGGACCCATCCCGGATAGGATCTGTCCTTTCAGCAGAGCCTTCAACAATAGGAGGATGTGGGGTAGCCTTACTGTTTATGGGACTACGGCCATTATTGTAAAGTACTAACACATGGATCCACTTGAGGACAGCGTTTGAAACAAGTTTTAGGCCACAAGTATGGGCAGAAAGCTGCAACTTTCACTCTGGCTGTACCCTTCTTCCAGAACTTCATCCATCTGAGATCCTTATATCCAGGATGCTCGAGTATGGGAACACATTCGTATAGATTAATGATGTCAACGAGATAAATCAGTTGTATCCAAATGAAAAATGCTGGCCCACAGATGGTCCAACTTCATCCTTTTCCCTACTTGTATGTCTCATACACAATAAAACTTGCTTCACATGAGCTGATGTCGGTACCCGCTCTTAGCTTGTCAATAACGTTAGGTATCCTTACACCTGTAAATAGTCTGTCAATAAAGCTAGGGATCCTTAAACCTTGTCAAACCCTGTGTAAAAAAAAAAAAAAGAGAAAAGAAAAGAGAGAGAAAGAGAGAGAACAGAGAGAGGAAAGAGAGTAGAGAAAGAGAGAGGAAAGAGAAAGCACAGAAGAGACAGGACAGAGAGACAGAGAGAGAGACAGAGAGAAGAGGACAGAGAGACAGAGACAGGAGAGACAGAGAGAGTAGAGAGAGAGAGAGAGAGAGATACCCAGAGAGCAGAGAGACAGAGAGACAGAGAGAGAGACCGAGAGAGAGAGCGAAGAGAGAGAGAGAGGACAGAGGAGAGAGGAGACAGAGGGACGATCGAGAGAGAGAGACGAGAGAGAGAGGGATACAGAGAGAGAGAAGAGAGAGTGACAGAGAGAGACTGAGACGAGAAGGAGAGAGCAGAGGACAGAGAGAGACAGAGAGAGAGACAGGAGAGAGAGAGACAGAGAGAGAGACAGAGCGGCGAGAGAAGCGACAGAGAGAAGATTAGGAGCTGACAGAGAGAGAGACAGAGAGAGAGAGGAAGGACAGCGGAGAGAGGAACAGAGAGAGAGAGAGACAGAGTGGAGAGAGACAGAGAGAGCAGAGTAGGACAGAGAGAGAAGGAGCACACAGGGACTTTTTGTTCACTTCAAATAAATACAAAATATGTTTACTACTAACGTTAGAGAGCCAATGAAGAATTATTAGTACAGTGGACCTTCAGTTAGTTATAACGATCTTTTGTTTCACACTCCTGAGTATGTTCAGGTGCCAGAGTACTGACCGAATGTGTTTCCCATATAGATTATTGTGAAGTAAGATTTGTCAAATTTCAGACCCCAAAATACAGTACAAACGCACCTTACATTAAATACACTTACATACTGGTCGCAATTCGGAGGTCAATCGTTATGCGGGGATCCACTGTATTATGAATAAAGGGGTTTTTGGGAGATGAAAAAACATATGTATTAAGGATCGTGGGGAAATCATAAACATGAAACAAAAAACAATGGAAAATGCTGAAAATAAAAAATTATTTAGCTCCAGTGAGCTGTGAGGAGCTCAAGTCTATGAGCAATTTAATAAGTACTATATACACTAAACTGTAATAAATAATAATGAGCCTATATTAGCATGAAAAGTCAAATTTAGACATATGACAAACTATTTACTTCCCTATAAATATTCCAGCAAGATGTACTATAAAAAAAAAAAAAAAAAAAAAATCTGAATGAAAATTAAAGACAAAATTTAGGTAAGTTTACCTTAAGTCCTACAGTATTATGGGCAATGTTTTTCCCAGTTCTTCTGTTTTCACTTAGAGCTTCCATGTTGGTAATCCAGCTGTCAACTTGTTCAAGGATTTCCTTATGCTTCAGCCAAAAGTGACGGTCAATCACCTACGCAAACATTTCATCAGTAATAGTAGTGTAAACAAGTATCAGAGCAAAAAACAATATCGCAACATCACCTTTCGTCAATTTTATTTGCGAAGTAACTTAATTGGATGCAAGACAAATAATAATAATAAAAAAATTATAAACCAACACAGCTCATAGTAATAAAAAACATCTGCATACTGTATAGATTTTTACATTAATAAAAAAATCTGCATACTCTTTCAGATTTCACAAGAAATATGAATTATTAATACATGACATGCTTACAGCACAAAATACATTACTGGGAATTGAAAACACTGAATTGGTTAAAATGCTTTCTTGTAGAAAGCATTTTAACCACTATTAACACTCCATCTGTTAGTGTTTCCTTGTTGTCTTCAGGAATTCACCTCTGCTTGGACCACAACTGGAAGACCTACTGATGATACCCACCTTTCCCGTGCACTTCACATTTCTACGATGACAGTTGCTTCCTATTATCACTATTAACACTTTTGTACCTATCTGTTGTTCCCCCGATCCCCTCTTTGTTGGTCATCTCAGTAAGGAAAGGTTAACCCAAATATTTGTAATTTTTTAGTTTATCTTTCTTATCCTTTCTTTCAAAATTATAGGCCTTTGAACAGTGAGATAATTTATGTGGATCAAAATATTTCCTGCTAATTTAACAAAAAGGCATAAAAAAAAATACTGACAGACACTAAACTCTCACCTCCTTGAAACAGGGAGAAGGATTACGAAGCTGATTGAGCATAGCCCATCTGACTGTCGCAGCTCTTATATTTGCATCGTATTCACGAGAATTTTGCATAGCAGTTGGTGTTCCCCTCGACCTCTCGTACCCTGGTTCATTGAAGTAAGGTTCACTCACGAAGATTAAACTTTGGATTGACACTAACACCTGCAAATAGATGATAAACATTACAGGTAAGGTGACCTGACAGAAGGGAAACACCTTCCCTGTCATTCATTCACTGTACTCACCCATTTGTGGTAGTAGGGGTCAATTCTCAGAACTTTCTCCATCTGGAGAGAGCGGTGAGTTAACTTGCTACTCTCCACATTCACTCCCTCATAGCCTCGTGGATCCTATCATACCTGCTTTTAACAATATGTATGAAGCCTGTCTCCGTGACTTCCTCACCTAGGTTATGCCACTTCCCAACCACTCAGACTAAATACTTCCTAACAACCATATGGCTCATCTATTACTAACTTCCAGCAGTGTCCCCAAGTTCTCGTTTCTTACCTCTCAAACAGCCTATCTGTGTCTACCTTATCAATTCCCCTGGTTATTTTTTATGTTGTTTTCATGTCTCCCTGGTATCTTCTGTCATCCAATCTCATTTAGTTTAATTCTGTTAGCCTCTCTTCCTACCTCATGTACCTTAGCTCAGAAAGAAGCCTTGTTGCATACTTCAGCATTTTCCACTTCTATACAGGTTCTATACAGGTGCTGCATACTCCAAGATGAGCCTGATGTTATATAAATAGCCCAAAATGACTGCTGAGATTGCTGAAGGCTAATAGATTTATCAGATGAACATTGGCTGTACAGCAAGGGTCCCCAACCAGCAGCCCGAGGGCTGCAAGTTGCATGCAGCCCTTACATGAAATTAAGAATTCACTTTTATGTAGGTTTCACACTGCACAGTGTCAACAGTTATAAAATATTATTGCTATTATTTGTAAAAATTACAAAATGCGGCCCTCCTTTAAATTTGGCTTTTCAAATTGGACCTTTCATACTAAAAGGCTGGGAACTACTGTTGTAGGGGTTATTTTTGTGATGTGAGCCTCTAGCAATCTACTGGGTACTATGCTCACTCTTAGGTTTCTCTGATTGAAGACTGCAGCCTCCATCCCCCATGTTTATACCCCATTTCCAGTCTTCTTGCTCCTTTCCCAGTCTTCATGACCCTGCATTTACTGGAGCTGAATTCAAGCAACCACTTATCTGACCTCTTGTGCAATTTATCCAGAACCCCTTGGACCTTTCTTGGTCATCTGTTTTTATTCTCAATAGTTTTACATCAGCAAACAGGGATATATTCTAACCAATTCCAACTGGAATGTCATTTACATAAGCCAGAAACAGTACTGAACCTAATACTGATCCTTGAGAAGCCCTGCTAGTTACTCTTTCCCATTCTGTCTTTTTCCTGACAGATGCCCTTTGCTTCCTTTCCCTAAGATACTCTTTGATTCACCAGTGTATGATTCCTGTTATTCTGGCATAAATCTCAAGTTTTTGGCCCAGCCTCTTGTGGGGTACATTATCAAATGCCTTTTTTGCAGTCTTTAAAAAAAAAAAAAAAAAAATGCAATCCACTCAATCCTCTCTCTCTCTTGTTGTACATTTGTTACTTTGTCATAGAACTCCAACAAGTTAGTAAGATGTGGCATTCCTAAACCCATACTGGTTTTGTTCATGAAACCACTTCTCTCCAAGTGTTCTACCACTCTTTTCTTGTCAAGTTACTGCATTACCTTGCAAAGTATGCATGCCATAGAAAATGATCTGTAGTTTAACACCTCCTGTCAGTCTTTCTTAAATATAGGGACTACATTTGCTGCCTTCCAGATCTCTGGTAACCATCCTGTATACACTACACTGAGTTATTTTAGATAGCTAGTGGTTTACACAGTGTTTCTACACCCTCTCACAGAATCCATGGTGACATGTTGTCAAGTCCCATTGCCTTTGATGTATACAGGTCCATTAAAAGTTCATTACCTCTTTTCCTGTTGTGTGGCTGTCATTCAGTACTTGCCAGAGGTGAGCTGACATAGTTCAGATTTTTTTTTTTTCAACATGCTGACCATCTTTCACCAAGGCAGACCACAAAAAAGAAAGATACACTTTCACCATCATTCACACATAATCACTGTCTTCACAGAGGCAATCAGATACATTATATTATGTAAATAAATGCTAATAAAATAAAAACATTGTTGCTAATAAATTTAAGAGGAGAAACACAATTAAGATGGATGATATGCTATGGATTACTTTAAAAAAACACAAGGCAGAAGAAACTGACAAGAGAATATAAATAGGGCCTGTATGATCAATGAATAATTAAAAATTACATTGCCATCATTGATATGCATGAGTCAGTATTGGGTACTCATTAAAAATTGACATGCAATAAAAAAAAAAAACACATAGGAAGATGAATATATAAGTACTAATGTTTGTACTCAAGCATTCATGCAGTTAAGGGAAAGGCTTAACAGGGACAACACAGTACTGTTGTAATTTTTTTTTTTAACACATCGGCCGTTTCCCACTGAGGCAAGGTGACCCAATAAGAAAGAAAAATCCAAAAAAGAAAAAACTTTCATCATCATTCAACACTTTCACCATCACTCATACATAAACTTTCCCACCGAGGCAGGGTAACCCAAAAAGAAAGAAAAACCCAAAATAAAGAAAAAAATTCACCATCACTTATACATAATTGTTGTAATTCTTATGATACAAAAAATTCACATCTTCAACTACAGCCTGTCCTCACTTTGCGACGTACTTGTTTACCAACTGCTTGGACTTATGACCAGTTCTCCAACCAGATGAAAACCTAAATAATGAATATTAGAGCTGATTTTCTCTACTTTGTTTATTACAATATACTACTGTATAAACATTTAAAATTATACTAGATTAGATTTTGCTACCGAAGTGGTTAGTTTATTGTGCACCCCATATCCATCCTGTGGACGGTAGTGCAAGAGCATATGGATACACAAAAGGCCTAGGAACTAAATTACGCTAGAAATGTTATAAATGGTGCAAAGGCAACATTAAAAAAATATCTTAAGATGGCTGACACAAACCCACTACCAGTATATTATGCTCCTCGCCTAACGACCAATTTGCTTATTGATCTACTCTTAGGAACGAAACCCCGTCGTTAAATAAGGAGAGGCTGTAGTCAAAACTGCTTCTGCTGTCTCCAGTGTTATAATTGCCTGTATCTGACTAAAGAAGCCTCTTGAGTAGACAAAATATTTTGAAATTGAAGATACCTAAGTGTTGCACGTGTCTTATTCATCAAATTTGTGTGTCTGAAACGTTATCCTATTTTGCCCCTACCCTTTACTTCAAGTAATGCCAATTTTCACAAGGTGTCACTTTTCAAGAACATGTCCCATGTTATGAGGGTTTACTGTACATGGAAAATACTAGAGGGTCAGATACCTGATTTACATGCTGACATAACTTACTGAAAGATATGGGAAGTATAGAATAAGCTCAGTGGAAAGCATGTGTGCCATAGGCACACTATGAGAACACTGTTAACATATATGATTCATTAACATTAAACTTTCTACCAGCATAAGTGAGAAACATTACTACAATAAATATAGACTCAACAAGAGGAAATGTCCCCCTATCATTGGGATAGTCTAGGTAGGTTAAAAAGGGCAGGGCTAAATTAGCAGAATTTATTAAAAGGAAATTAAAAAATTCCTAAATTGGTTTGAAAACCCAAGATTTTTCCCCCAAACCCAAATTTAATATTGACTTAAATTTTGGGAAAAACCCCTCAAAAAGGAAATGAGATTTAAAATCCTCCTATTTAAATTCCTTACGGGACAAAAACCTCTTAGACAAAAATTTAAAAAGTGAAGAAAAAGGTTGGGTTCTTTTTTCTAAAAGTTCCCCCCCCTCGGTGTTGAAGTTATCCATTTCCCCACCTGTTCCCAATTTGGGGAATTTTAAAGGTTTTTTCAATAAATTATGTTATGAGGACTCTACTGAAATACAACTGAATGAAAGGTGGCTAACAGAAGGTAGGGGAATATAAAAACTCTTAAACATTTTGCCATTCCCAACTTGAAAACACTTTCCCCTTATGTCATTCTTTAAAATTTTTAAATAATGGAAATTTTACACAAAATAAACCGCAAATGGAAGGCTTATTACAAAGTTTAATCTACCCCCAAAGGTTGACAAAACCAATTGTGGGTAAGCTTCTCCTCAAAATTGGTTTGGACGATTTTCAACCCAGTTTTGGTTTTTTGGTTTTTTTAATAAAAATTAAAGCATTATAATAAAGTTAATAATTGGGGAACAAAACCCCCATCTACCTTTTGAAGGAGTGTAAAAAAAAGGCCGGGGAATTGTTTTCCATTGTGGGTAGGATGCTGGGCTTTTCTTCTATAAATTGGAGTTTAAAAGGGTCCCGTTTGAATTTAACTTACACAAATAGGGAACTAACACGACGGGTAATGTTTATTTTTACAATATCTTTTTTTTGTTTTTTAAATTTTTAATATTCTTGCCTTATTCTTTTCCTTTTATTTTAGGGGGAATAATAAAAATTCCCAATATAAAGGCCATGCGGTTTAAAAGGTCCAATTAAAGCCAAAAAAAGGGGCGTCCCCCTTTTCTCTTGTGGTTATGTAGGTTGTCAAGTATTGTGTCTTTTTTTTATTATAAGAAAAGAGTTTGGTTTTAGGGGGAGAAGAAACCCCGGGATTGTCCTGCCAAGTGAAAAACAAAAAGCTGATGGGGTTGGGGAGGTGTTCAAAAATAGAGGATAAAAAATTTTGTTTATCAGGGTTCAAATCCAATAAGATTTTAAAAATACATTTTTTTGAAAATAGCTTGGCAAAAAGGGAAGGGAAATTAAAATTTTTTCCAAGTGGTTTGTAAAGTAATAAAATTTGGGGAAAATGGGATAGAAACCCCTTTCCTGTAAGAAAAAAGAAAAAGAAAAAGAAAGAAATTTGCAAAGGGGGGAATTTGAAGGGTGGGGATTTGTAAAATGTAGAAATGGTGGTTGGGGATTTAATGAATGGGAAAAAGGGTTTGGTTTAAAGTGAATAAAGTGGGGGTGGGGGTTCCAAGGGGGAAATTTAAAGGGGTGGGGGGTTTAATTGAGTAGGTAAAAGAAATGAATAATGTAAAAAATTTAGGGGAAAAAAGAGGGATAAAATTAAAATTCAAGG